CGCAAACAATGTGTTTAAAAAGTATATTAAACAATATTTAAATGAAACTAATTCCCGCATATTTTTTTAAAAGTATACTCACCTCAGTTTTCCGTAAGTGCGGATAAATCACATTGACATTTTACAAGTCTTTGTTTTAAGTAGAGATTAAGTTTTATATTTATAGTTAACGTTTTTACTGGGTAAATTGACTTAAATAGTCAATAAACAGTTGTAGTACTAAACATGTGTGCATATTAATTATTGACTGTTAGCTTAATCCCTCGCGAGTTAAGAAAGAATAAGATAATATTTTTCGAAGGCAACTGTTTCTTTTTTTATTATCTGTGAGTGACTATTGATGGATGACAGTTATTGGAATTACAGACTAAATGAAGGTCTAAGTTTATTTAAGGGGGGAAAAACATCAAATGACTGCTCCCGCCTGGGTGAGGTGGGAGGGAGTGTCAGACTCTTACTGACTAAAAACCACCCCGTTCCTTCTCCTGCACGTCGAGCCGGAGCCCCGGTAACCCGTTAGGTTCTCCGCGACAAAGTCTAGGTTACAGGTCCATGATTATACGAAATAAAGATTTTTAATGGCGGTGTTTTTATTTTATATTTAGCGAACCATTGTCGCTATCGAATACCAGTTTCACCGTGATGACCCATATATAATTTTGGGATGAATAATATTGGAAATTTTAAAAACTTTCTACTGATTTTAGGTCTGTTCTTTAGACTTGGCCATAGTATACAATTATTGTTTTCGGTGATTGCATAAAGGATTTATTGTTAGTTTATATTTCTCATTTGTTTTTAAATAGTCAATCGAACAGCAAAACAAATGACACGATATTATTTGGGTACTACGTCATTATTATGGAAACAGGGCTTACGGCACTATACTCATTTAAATGATAAAATAAAGCGTCTTTAACTCATTATTGTTCATTCTAGAATGTTCGCACTAGTATGAGGTTCTGGATTTTTAAGATGTCTGGGTTGGAATGGGGTGGAATTTGGAATACTTTAGTTCTTTCTACCTAAGTTTAATCTGTAGTTTATAGCCTGAGATATTATGTTATAATTTGACAAATCTCTAGATTCATATAGAATGGCTGGGCGCTCATGGAATGGTATTTGGGATTCCCTACATATTTTTTTTAATCGTGTCTCGCCTAATTGTAATGCACGACACAAAATTCTTAATACAGAAAAAAGAACAATTCACACGGAAGTATAAGAAAGAGTAATAAATAAACATTATAAATGTCTATTGAATGGCAGAAAGGAAACAAACGATCATTTCGATTTTGTTTTGATTTGCGCAATAGTATGTCCAGTTAGTTGTGTTGCTAACCACGTAGGATTGTCGTATCCGGTACTATGGAGTATTGGCAGTCACTCAAACGGACCTAGTATAGTTGACAAAACATAGACAAGACGAGAATATAATTTAGGCACACGCAGGTATTTCGATAACAAAGTTTTACTTAGCTTTATTACTTTTGCACTAACGCAATAGAAACTTTTTGTTGATTTCCTTTTACATACTACAGAATAAGGTCTTCAATTTAATATCAACATCAACAGCCTATTAGTGGCCACTGCTGTCCAAAGGTCTCTTCTCATACGGAGAAGGTTTAAGCATTAATCGCCACGCTTGCTCAATGCGGGTTGGCAATTTCAAGCTTATAGTTAGAAATTCAAATAAGCTTAGGTTCTCTCACGATGTTTTCTTTCACCGTTTGTCAGAGATGTCTTATTAATTTAAGAAAGTACATAACTTACTAGTAACTTGGTAAAAGTTACATTGGTATTTGCTGTTCCGAAATTTTATTTGGTATTTGAGGTTTCGAATCCACGGGTTACCACATCTCTTAATTAGTATAATTGAGGATTTTTAAAAGTGCATGCAGTTTTGAACCATCTCAAAATTACATTAAAGTTTAAGAACCTTACCAAGTTAATCCTTCATGTTTGTAAGTCATATGAACTTGATCATAACGCAGTTAATATAAAATTGATCCTATTTTTACAATAAACACAACGCATATATGTATTCGAAATCGTATTTCCTTCCTTAAATGACTTATTAACCACACAATAAGATTGAATATTGACTGTATTTTAAACAGTTTGGACGATTGTACCGTCAATATCTATTATAAGCATTCAATGACTCATTCCAGACACAATTGTAGGCTTTTTAAATTCTAAAGCTGATATTTGTTGTCATCCTGTGCCTACCAATTGTAGATGATAATAGAACAATACAGTCATTTTATTATGTTGGCAAAAGTGTATCTATGTGCTACTTACAATATTGTTCGTTGATAGTTTAGGTTACATGTATTTTAGCTGAAATGGTAGGTTTTTTGAGCAGTAAAGGGGTGGTTTTTAGTCAGTAAGAGTCTGACACACCATCCTCACCTCCTCATCTTCCATGGCCTCACCCAAAAGAATCAGTAGACGATTTTCCGCCTTCAAAAAAATGGTGTGTTTTATAGTAAGATCATTAGTTAGATCTCCATCACAATAAACAATAATATGTATATTTATTTTTCAATAAAATGTTTCAACAGAGTAAATCTAACATTTATAAAAAAGAGAAAAACATTATGTAAAAAAATTGTTTTAGTTAGGTTATTTCGTCGTCCTTTTTGGTAACAGCAGATAGGCAGTAACGGAACATAGATAAAATCAAATTGTTTTACATGATTAGTGATAAAGAAAAATGCCTATATTATCACACGCATCGATTATTTAATTAATGTAATCTGTAATACTAATCTAGCTAGTAAGAGGGATACAATATAATCTATCAAGGACATTTATGATTAACATATTTTTATTTATTGCCTAATTTTTTTGTACATTATTTTTATTATTATACAGTCGACAGTTACACCCTGGTAATATTATATAACAACACCCTATAAAAAGCGTCAAAACTAAAGCCTCGAAAATTTACATTTCTTAACTTAAGTACAAGTTGATATTGTGTCGATTAAACCCTCTATTTGGTTATCTGGGAAAGATTTTCCAAACAGTCCTCTCCCACACTCCCCATTCCATTAAAAAACTACGCTCTATTCAGAAGTTTTTACCAAACAAAGTACGAACCATTATAATTGGAATAGGTACTTACGTTTTCATCTCAAACAATAGAGATCCCAAATCAATAGGAACTGTGCTAACATCAAGCACACTTCTAGATCTGCCAACCCCATCACAAGAACAATACAATAAGGGTAAGGGTGGTCCAAGGGCTGATCCAACCCTCATATTTACGCCAAAGGGGCAGTAATGACCCTTTTTTGTCGACCATCTTTGAAGCTAAGCGATGATAAACAGGAGCTTGGTTCAACGATGGGTTATTTATAGGAGCTAATTTTGTGAGAGTGTCAATGTTATATGAGTTAATTTAAAATTTACTTCTTTGTCGACATCTTAGATCACCTAAATATTGAAATAAAACGTAAGAAAATGAACAGAAATACTAACAAAAGATTTATTTTAATATGTTCAACAAATTTGTGCTGCACGTGCCGATGAAAGTAGTTTTTATTTTATATTATCATGTAGATCAGAATCGAAAGGATCAGATTGATGGCAAGCTGAATAAAGACATAAAAAATTAAAAAAACGCGAACATCTTCTAAGTATTAGCTCCAAAGGAAGTAAAAACAAAAGCTTCCTTACTATTCCACTCATAGTTTCCTTCGAACCCCTCGAAAATTTATGCACTTAACGCGCATGCGCTGCGGGTCCCGGCGTCAGCTGCGCGCGCACGTGGCTTCAGGAAGTTGCGACACGCAATCCTGCGCACCCATTGTGCTGGATTCGCGTCTTAACACCCCATGTTTATCACAAAACATAAGTTAGTTTTTTTTTAGTTTTAAACCAACCATGAATTTAAAATTATGATATTTTTGTCGCATGGAGCATATGTCGTCTTTTGTGTGCTTGGTTTGGGTTGATTACTGATATAGAAAGAAAGGTTTAAAAACTTCTTTACAAAAAGTAAAAAAAAACACTGCCCTTCTTGGTTTTATTTGGTACAGAAATAGTGTAAATCAGTATTAATTATTATGAAGATGGCACTTATTTAATGCACTTGTTTCCAATATAAAAACAGGATGAAAATAAAAGTTCAATTTAAATACGTCATGGTCAACGTCAGTTACATTATTTGAAAAATTGATTGCAAAGCTTCGAGTATGCAGTGCAGTCGCATTCGGAACCAGTCTATATTTGCACACTCGGTAGTTTTCGTAAAGCGCGGAGGGTGCCACCCTCGTTACGTGCAGTTATTTTCTGCGTTTATAGGGCGTTGCTAATTCTAATGAATGTGTGAGGTATATGAGTTTTAAGTCTGTCTTCAAATGCTTCAAGTACGGGAACTAAAGAACTTTTTTGAAACAAAAGATTACTATATTTTAAACTGCCATAGGAGTTCGCTGTTGTAAATTAGTAATAAATACGTAATGGACTAAGTTTACTTCAGGAAGTCTTTTTTGTTGCTACTTACATAAATAGGAAAACATTTTTTTGTCTTACTTCATTCAACAAAAAAGAGAAAAGGCATAAACACGATTTTAGACTACAATAAATAATTTGTGCCCCTCCTACAAAACTAGTTAGTGACTAATCAGATTTTATTGAACTAAAATCAGCATAGCCAACTGTAAATTAACTGCCAATTCATAACAACGACTTGAGATGACCGTTCGAAACTTTTTTGCGCCACAAAGTAGTCGACGCGATCCGATAAACAAAAGAAAATCCGACCCAAAACCCATAGGTGGCCGAGTCCGAGACTCCCAAGTGCATGTACGCACACATCGCCACCCTACTGGCGCGCCCCACCACCCGGTCAAGTCGCAACTTGCACAGGCTGTACGATTTGTTGCCCTCCTCGATTCCTCATTCGTCCGCGGACCGTGTCAGCGAGCGCGCGTGTCGCTCGTCATAAAGAGTTTAGTGAACGAGTGTTGTGCTTATGAACAATCAAGATGGTGCGTAGCTTATCGCAGTGGACGAAGACCCTCAGCTTTCCAGCGAGGTTGTCTCCCAACCGCACGTCTAAGGAGAGCGTCGGGAATGGCCAATCCTCCCCAGGAGTGTCGCCAACTCCTAGCGCCTCATCGCTCCCCCAGAGCTCGGATAAAACTATCACACCAATACCTATCACCGAGATCAGCCAAATTGTAAGTCTAACTTCTTTTTTGATTTAAGTCAAGTCCCTCTGAATAGTTTCTAAGAGAGGGGACATTTATGTAGTTGCAGCTGCAGCTCAAGTATGCATGCTGAATGCCAAGTAGTTCATTATGTACCAAAACTTACGGTTAGTTATTTCGCAGTAATGTGGTTCTAAGCCTACTTTACGAATACATAATTTGATAAGAGCTGGTATGGGAAATTTTATGTCAAAATACAAAACATCTTTATTCATGATGAATAAATTCGCAATATATAATTGTAGTGTCCTTGTAAGCTCTATGAATTTGGTCATCGTACGCTTCAGTTATTTAATTGGGCTGTCATAATGAGAGACCGTCCTTGAAAATTCCATCAATGTAGTTACCCTACTTTAGAACAATAAGATTACAACCTAGATTTTATTGCATGATGACAGTATGGGTACTGCTGATGACAGTACGATGTAACAATACTTATGAAACACCATATTAGTGGGTGAAAATTACTCTAACAGAGTTACACCTTTGTTTACAAATAATGTCTCGAATGTCTAACAGTCCTGTACCTCAATAAGGCGGGCTACCGTTACATAGCTTTCCCATAGCCGATGATATACGTGTATGAAATTTGAACCGTACTTTATAGCACAGATGACCATATTAGATGATCATTAAGTACGACAGTATTGAAAGGAAGTGTATCAAAAACCATATTCATTTCCGACGAGGCACGTGGTTTGGACGCGTACCATTGCTGTTTATGTTGTGCGGCACGTACGATCGATAGTGTGGGAACGTTCGTTGGATGCCAAAGTCAGCGATGGTGTATGAAAATTGATGTTCGTGGTGCGCGGGGGCCGGTGCGCCCGCGCAGCGCACCGTTATGTCCCCCTTGCACTCACCTTGGCAAGGCCGCGACGAGATGCGAGTTTTTTGCGAAGCATGAAAGCATGACTTTCACCTTTTAAGACACCTTTCTAAATACTGAAGTCTGTTTTTGATTCAGGTCTTAGGTTTTAAGTACTTGCTCGTGTAATTGTTTGGTCGTGTAGACTGCGCCTCCTTTACAAGGCGGCCCACCTTGAATAGGATAGTTTGCTTGTAGTGAATAAGTGAAGTGTCGTCGGTACCGTTTAGTGAGGCTTTGTAATGTCAGAAATACACCGGTCTAATGGACTTAGCCGACTTACTATGGATCAACAATGTTTTTTTACCATCTGTAATCATTTCATTAGTTTTGCCAAAAAAGGAAATTCTATTTAATTTTGATCTCTAAAACCGGAATTTTGGTTTACGTGTCAATGTCATTCATGTTATCAATTGCGTATAATTTTGATGTATTGATATAATACTAGGTCCTGATAAAAGTGAAGATCAAAATCAAACCTTATAGTAGATTACAGAACTTATCTAATGTGTAAATATGTGCGTACAAATTGACCTAGAAAAACTACAATACCTACATTGCCTGTGAACCAAAAATGTGAATCTTTATACTTATTCGGAAACACGTGTATCAACCATTAAACAATGGTAGCAAGCTTTATTCTCATATCTTGAACCATAACATTGTGAAACACACCAACACACGTCAAGCTTAAAATTCACAGAACCGTATGGAACTTATCTCTATTTCAGGTTCCAGAAATTATTTTGTTTCCTACATGACTTTATTCTCATACATAACCTACTTATCGGAGATATGGTATCACACATTATCAAATGTTATGCAAAAACTCGGCAATGTATGCAGAAACACACGTCTTATGCGGTATGCGAAGAACGGACAATTTTACCTCATTTGATTTGCAGATGTTGCAATACACTGCTCAGATAGTATTTAGAATTCCATTTGTAAATCAATGTGTGAAGCCAACGAACTAAGTGTCGGATGACATTGAAGCAAGTCGTCGTCACAAAACCAGGCATAAAAAAAAGAAAAAATAAAAATACTGTTTTTTTTTTACTATTTTTCTCGTTCGATAAATGGCAATGCTTGCTTCGGACTGATGCAAACTGTATAGTTATTTGTCGATAAGTTTATTTTTTAAGTATTTATTCTGTAATAAAGATAAATGATAATTATAAAGTTAGGTCTTTTTTAATCTAATGTCAATGGGGCAAGGATATTGTGGAGTACAACTATTATTTTTATGTGACACAATATTTATTTACAACTTTATGGCGACACGCAAAATTATAAATCTTACTGTGTTATGTGAACATAAATAATTGTTTTACTAGCTCTTACCGATTTTGGTAAAATTTTATGAGATACTATCAAGACAAGACAAGATTTGAAATATGCGATTTTTATGTTTAAATAAAAAACGTAGTTAACCCAAATGTATGTTTTGGTATCAATGTTTTCCTAGAAACATTATCGCTAAGGTCAATGTTTTAAGTTTAGGTTTTCCTCAATTTTATAATACCTAAGACCATATTACTTGCTACGATTGTGTAAAAATAATATATTCAAGAATGTTGGCGAAAGAAAGCATGTCGAATTAGTTTTGGTGAGTAATACTTTATTACTTTGAGAACTTATGGTTAAATCATCATTACTGTTTGTCGAAAGCTATAAATGAATAAAGTGTGCTATTAAACACGATCGACAAGTCACCTCGATCCGGACGACAATTCGCAATAAAAATCTTTACGTCCATCTCCTTCATATTTTTAACAACAAAATGTCAAACAGCTATGACTTGCGTCTAAAAAAATAATCGTAAAATGAATTGACGACTCTCTTTGGCCGCCATTTTCGATTTATGGCGCGCATTTTGACGCGTTCCAAATTTTAAATGTAGTATTGGAAGTACCTAAGAAGAAATATAACCTTTTTAGTAAAACGCATAAATTTAAATTAAACGACGTAATTCTGTGTTTGGTATTTGTGATAGGTGGGCAATGATTACCAGACTGAATAACTTAGGTGCGCATTTTGTAACTAAATACCTAGTCAAGTTTTAAGTACTTTTGCAATCCAGCCAAGTATGTGGCGCCAGCTTATTAGCTTTAAAAATGGCGTGAAGATATCCACTTATTTTTATTACTGGTTGATAACGTAAGAATTCATTTGATGCAATTTTGGATTGCGTGTGATTACGCAGAATGTCGGCTGCCGTTTGTTGGGACAGGATTTTACTATTGTTTTACCAGATTGTTAGCTTTTCAAAGTGAAATAAATAGACCGCATTACGTAACTTATCATACTACTCCGTTCTGTCTTATATGACATGTCTCATTAGTTTTAGTATACCTAAATACATACAGTCATATTAGCTACCTTTCTCTTGTAAATGACATTACCTAAATGCATTTATTACGTGGTAGATTATCTAAACGTTAGTTTATGACAACGATTTATCATAGACATTTGGCATAAATCCCAAGTCTAGTTAAGTGACAAACTTTTTTATGAATGTACGTAATTCTAAATACTTGACAGTTTTGGCAAATGGTAGTGAATATTGCGGAGTTGTATAAAATAAAGTAATAGATAAATACACAACTAAATGTACTAGGCTTGACATTTCGTAATGGCATGATGATCTTTACAAGCGCACGGTAATTCACACGCGCGTGCGCTAATGGATGTCACAACTTTCTTAATGTTTTCTTACGATTATTTTTTATGAGACCATTGTTAAAAACAGTGAGAAGTGTCTTAAATTATATGAAAGAATGTTATCTCTTAAGATAAATTATATTTAGCAGAAAATAAATAGTTCCATCATTAGATTAGCTTCCATAACATATGGCATAATTAGCAGAATTTTATTTATAACGCGTGGCAGAATTGAAACAATTTTTTAAAGTGCAAGTCAGCCATATTTATTAGGTATTTTATTATGTCTGTGGCGGAACGAACATCTGCGTGTCAAATTCCTGTGTGCCATGTGCACTGTGCAGGCTTGGGAAACGGACCGTGCACATGTGGTAGGGAAAAAAGGTTGTTACTCGAATATTCCTATCGAATACTGGCCGGTTAGAAACTTTGGTACTTATTAGTTTGAATTTGGATTGTCGCATACCATTTGTTTTTTAAATGAGTTAGTTTGGTGTAAATATACCAATAATTTATTAACAAAACTAAATTATTTGCACATGGTAGGTGATATTGACAAAGATGTATCACCTAGGTATAAATATTTCCGGCACAGAATCTTTTTAGAAGTGTTGATCTTCTTTTTTATTACTAAATACACGTGTCTAAATAAAAACACAATGACACTAAAAAATAAATTAGACCAACCCATCTTTAGTTTAATCGATTTCCACAGATACTTTACAAGGCACTTCAAGCTTGAAATTCCAACATTATGTAGGGCACAAAAACTAATAATATTTTCATATAAAAACTTCACAAAAGTGTGCTTAAATTGAATAGTAGCTGTAGATAAAGGAAGAGGGTGGTTTTTGTGGCGTCAGCTGTTTCTGAACCCGATACACCCGTACACAGGGTGTTCCGCACAAAGCTCGCAAGTGAAAAGAGATTTCAACCGATCGCTTTTTTATCCTATCGATTTTATATACAACCTATACCTATACTATTATTAGTTTTGTTATATGATATTGGAAAAGGCCAGGATATTGTAATTTGTGGCTTCTGTGCATGTGTGAGGGTGTTGTTTTGATTACAATCGGACGAAAAGCATTTTGCATTGTATTTTTTTAATTAGTTTGCACTATAAATGCCTGATGTTTTAACTATTTTTATATACATTATGTAAGTTTTGTGTTTAGTACAAATATGAAGACTCGATATACGCAAAAACTTTGCAATATGGGGCTTTTTTATAACAGGACATCAATAAATAATAATAAGAAATCAGACATAACTTACACTATTGCATAAGACAATCTCAATTTCATTCACAATAACCCTCATCTTGAACAATGATAAGCTGTGTCAGCAAAGATCGAGTAACATCGGAACGGATACGACATTCGATATCGAGATAGCAGCAATCGTCTCGACTCGATATGAATCGATCGACTTCGGT